ATCTGCAGACAGACTCGATCCAGTGAGTGGACCAAATCTATTTTTGGATCACACCCATCGTTGAACTGTCACATCGTGGCACCCCTCAGCACCTGGCCTGCACCGGTGGTCACCCATCCAAGCACTGTCCAGGCCACAGTTTGCCTTACGTACAAGGTACAGCGGCGTCGCTCGCATTCACAGTGATTGGGTTGTAATAAAATTAAACAAAAATATTAACGGCAGAAAGCATGAAAAAAATTACATTAATATTTGACCATTTAAATAATATATTCGTTAATTGGCTTTGCAAATAGCCTAACTGAGGTGTCCATAGTATTTTAACAAGAATTGTCCTAAATGGTGAGCTGACAAGCTGCTCCATGCACAGATATCTTGAAATCAGTGCCCCCTAGAGCGAAATATATTCACTCGCTGCACCACGCACCTATGTACAAACATTCCCTTTCAAGAATCGCTGACGTTCGGCCAGGTTTTATATCTTTCAATCGCACACACGTTTAAAATCTGGCGATCATCTGTTGTGCACAGATGCCCAAAGGCCACAAGGCCAAAACGCTTAATCTAGCTTGGAAGTTAGATATGTCATCAGATATCGCAACGGAATGAGTTTCGGTCATTCCTCTGCAGTTGCATAAGGTCACAGCCACCACTGGAATTGTGCTCACACAAGGCGCACAGTGGGGAATGGATAAGGCGCACATTATAATACGGTCGCCTTGACATGTAAACTGCCACGCACACAAAGTAAGCGTACATTAATATACGGTAAGCAACTCGTAACCACATTATTTTTTATCCAGTGTATTAATGTCCGTACAACAACAGCCACTACTCGCCACTAAGTGGCAGTGACATCACCACAGCGTGTGTGCCAGGCAAGGTGCACTTTGAGGCCACGTGGAGAGTCAAAGGCTTACTGGTAGGAGGTCACGGGACAGACCCAGGTGCCATGGGTTGACTGACTGAGATGACTGGCAGATGCGCCACCCGTGCTCCCTAATACATCATCCAACCAGGTATAGATATACCATATTAATGTATTCATTAATACCATTTATTCCACGTGATCGTGTTGACGCAGTGGTAATAAAGTGTGCAGGCTGGAACCATAATAGAGGTTTTTTGGATTAGATCGCGTAAATATATAAATATGTGTCGTTAAAACCCGCCACCACCCGACACAGCCAACTAGTAAGGGTTGTCACGTAAACGGAACGTGCCAATTCGTCACTAGTACGGCACACCGGTGTGTTGGAGAGCCAAGCCACAACATTTACAATCTGAGTACGACGTTTCGTCAGTAATTACAAATAGCTTCATCAGGCGTAGATGTGGTGATCACGATTCTGCGCTCTTGCGAAAAGTGGGGGGAGGGGGGGGATTACTGAGTCAACTTACATGATGCATGCGCATTATGCGAGCCCTTTGATGTTATCCTTCCTGTCTATTGTGTATTAAAATAGCCGTACCAACGGTAATTCGTATTGAAGTACGCTGCCCTTTATAGGCATGCATTTACGCGATCTAACCCCAAAAAAACTCTATCATGGATGATATTGGTCGCAAAAGCCTACGTGTTAAACAGACTGGACCCAGAAGATTGTGATTTAAAAAAACTGGCGGGGGTGCACTCAACCTTTCATCCTCCCATGGTCAGTAAATTAGACACCACTTAGTGGAAAGTCAACAGTTTTTGTCCTCAGGACAGATAAACCTCTGCCATAGGAATGTGGAATTTTACACTTATTACTGTAGTACACAGTTTATAACGCTTATTGGTAAAGTCACGTTGAACGTGACTTTACCAAAAGAGCTAAGAATATGAATTACTACAGTCACGAAAGCTTTAGTTTATAATGCTGTATATGTTCAGATTCAGCACTTGGGTCGTGACATTGGCACAAAATTGCTGGATCTTGTGAATGAAGTAATTTAAGCGTGATTCATATGCCTCATAAAAAATAAACTTTCAGGATAAAGATATTAACAAACTTGCTCAGTGTTAAGCGCTTTGACCATAATTAAACTACCTACAGAGCATATAAAAGTCCTACCAACCGACTTGGACTGTGCTCATTCGTGCAATTCAGTAGAACATCAAGAAGGCTTGATGTTTTCTTGATGCCATACGACGGTAAACTGTTGTACAGTGTTTTGCAATATTTCACAGAGTTCCTCGAAACAGGTAAACATATACATGTTGCGGTGAGCGTTAAAGGAAAAACGATCAACGAAATGGTGATCGTTGGCGCTGTACGTCACCCCAGACCTATTTTGGTATTTGTTTAGTTTCCTGCGTGGATTGTGTTTAAAGTGAGGCCCTCTCAGCTGCCACGCTACAACCCAAGCCGCACGACAGCCGCTGCTGTGCTGAGAGCGACTCTGCGTGAAAGAGTTTCCATTGCTAAAAAAAAAAATGTGCGTCCGACCGGACACGAATTTACACATGGGAGCAGCAGCGGCTGCAGCCTTACAATTGGGCCGTGTAGAAGTCACGATTAAAGCCCTTTTCGCGCTCAAACCAAAATCCCCACAGAACGAGGTGATATCACCGGCAGTGACAGAAGGAGCTGCCATTCGGCGTCCGCTTCGTTCGCAATTTGGGAGGCATCAAAGTGGCATTATTCTAAGGTGGCAGAACTAAGATTCAAAATCGCTCAAAGGGGGCTTCCCTGCCCAATGGGAGGCTCAGCCTCCCTGTCACCGCCCGGATGCCCACACGAACACACATGCAAGCATGCACACAACAGGAATTAATTAGGTAATATGTTTGCATAGCGCGCACATCCCCCCCCCCCACCCCCCAGCGCCGTTTTGGCCAAGCACTTAAAACAAGTCAACTTAAATTGTTCCCGGCATCCTCAGCTTTTTTTTTAAACAAAAAAACAAAAGACGAAGAAAAAACATCACCAGAAGGGATAACAACAACAACAAAAATCGCAACGCAAACAGGTCCCCCCCCATCCTGACTCGGTCCATCAAGTCAATTAACGCCACTCTCTGGCGTCGCTCCACTGTCGAGTGGCAAATGAAACAAAAAGAGGGTTGATGAAGCCGCGGGTTGAACAACGGTGAAATGTTGTGGGGTGCGTGGCACCACCGGTGGGGCCGAACGTACAGGGAGCGACATGTCCTGCTGGCAGGCGGCTCGGGTCAAAAGTTTACGGAATTACTTACTGGGCGAGGGGCCAAAGCTTCTCCCTATCAGCTGCACAATCCCCTGCCAGAAGGTGCCAATCATCTCTCTTGCACCGCGTCCCTCTCTCTCACTTGTTAGTTCACACTTTGTCCGTTGTCGTGTTCTCATGGTTCACAGGCCCAGGCGAGAGATTACAAATTCTGGTACGGCCTCGAATTCGTGATGTTTCTGAGTAATTTTAAAAGGTCCACAGCCATTATTTCGTGTCACCGATGCATCTGTTCAGCGATTGACAATTGATTGTTATGCTCGGAATACATGTATCAAAACGTGCGTGTAAAGAATTATTTACTATTTTTCAAGTCTTGTGCTCATATTTATTCATTCAAAGAATATTAATTTCTTGAGAAACCCCTTTTTTTAAGAACTGCTTTTTGTGTTTAGTTTGTTGTCTTTGCCCCCCACCTTTCGCACCGTACATAGAATGGTTGTCTATGCACGGTGCGAAACAAGTTCAACATACATCTCTGGCTGACATCGGAAGTGAGTGATATCTGAACACGTCATGGACGCCCGACCCCCAACTTCCTCAACCCACATTGACCAGCATGATGGACAAATGCATGGAGAGGCCCTTCATCCAGCAGTGGAGTGTAAAAGGGATGTAATGGTTATTGTTTATTACAAGATGCCTTCACATTCCCAGCCCTATGTTCGTGATCAGACTAACTCCCCCACACACAGGTCGAAGCCCCATGGGGCTGTTAATGCACTAGCTGCACTTTAATAATGCTTACAGTTGGACTTTGAGCTGTGTACCACTCAGAACAGTCGAACTTCACTAATTATAGCACCTGCCAAAACATTTGCATATAAAAGTGTTTTGTTTGGTAATAAAGAATACATATAAAAAAAAATATATATTCAACTTTGAACTTCGTGAACTTATTTTGCACCATACGTATCCAACCGTGCGAATCTGAGGTGAAATTAACATCGAATAACATCCACAAAAAAAGCCACAAGCCTGGATCGGCTTGGAAATGAAGAGACGAGGAAGCCACCTTCAGACAAGCTGAAGCAAAGTCGACTGATGGCTGCGGGGGGGGGGGGGGGACATGTCCTTGTGACGAGCGGGAGAACTACATCGGAAAAAAGGCGATCGCCATGGAAGCACCAGGCCGGAGACCGAGAGGCAGGACGAGATAAAGGCTGTGGCAAGTGGTGAGCCAGGCGTATTCAGGTCTGCAGTGTGGACGTGGAGATGGCCCAGAACAGCAGTGAGCGGAGCAAAAGGGTCCAGGATGGCAGACGCCAAATGAGTGGGAACGATTGCGGCTGCTGCTGAGAAGGCAGTCTTAAGCGCAAGCACACCTCTTTTGATTTGTAAAATAAATTGGTTGTGTAAAAAACAACATATCCACGTTGTATCAAACATAAACTGTTCACAAATCTAAAGAAATGTTCAACCCGAAAACAAACGGCTCTTTTAGGTACGTATCCAGATAGCATGTCCAGAGCTGTCCAGATATTGAGTTGGCAGAGTTTGTTAACAAGAAAAAATGAAATTTCAAATTTACAGTCAGGCACACCATCATATCACTCAAGTACCATCCCTGCCTGTGTTGTATTTAAATGTATGGGAGTGGCTTCACCACGGCATCACTTGGGAATCACAATAACGCGCTTGAACAGGACACTGCAGCATTTCTATATCTGATGAACGACGCATGAAGCTCACGTCAGACAACCGACAGACAAAGCCTAAGTACGGCACATAATTAGAAGAAAAGAGCTCTTGTGTTTTAGTTTGCGCTTTCCTTTTGGCATCGATGATGCAAAGAAGAAAGCCGCGTACCAAAGGGCCGGGGTCTCCCCTGGGGCCTCGCAGCTCCGGCAGAACCTCAAGCTCCACGACGCCCTCCGGATCATGCACATCGACGTAGCCCTCGACGTCCACCGTGCCGCCAGAGATGAGGTCCTCCCACTCGTACAGCAGCGTCAGGTTGTCCCTGCCGGCCTCCTCATACCCCTCGGACCCATCGTCCCCATTCCGTCCAAGCCCCCTGTGTCGACTCTCCAGCTGTTGGTCGAGGAGGTCGGGCCTGGGCCGCCTGTCGGGCTTACGGCGAGAAGCGAGGCCCTCCGTCTTCTTCCTGCTTTGCCTGATAGTGGCGAGGGTCTCCTTGTTCTTGGCGGCGACCTTCCTCCTCCGCTTGTCGTTCTCCTCGGTGGTGTTATCCGAAGGGCCTCGGCTCGTTCCGTGCCCCTGGCTGGCGGTCGTGTGCCGGGGTTCGCCGAAGGCGACGCCGAGGGCGGCGTCGCCGTCCGGAGGATGCAGCGTCGTCTGAATTCTCTCCGTGGTCGCGGTGCCCATGGAGTCGAGCGGCAACTCGTCCACGTGGGCCGTCCAGAGGGAGCCGCCCCGCTCGGCGGCGCTGCGCTGCGTTGCGAAAACGTGCGGAGTCAAAGGGGTGACGGGCGAGACCTGCTCAGTGTGGTTTTCGTCCAGATCTTCCTGAGACGACCTCGCCCCGGCTGACGAGGAAGAGTCGCGATCGACGACGGGAGGAGCTGCCAGCGGCCGGGGCGCAGAGCTTCGGTCAGGGAAGGGCGGCTGCGGCGCACGCTGCCGGTAAACGTCGCCGTGCCAGCACTGCTTCCTGATGTAGCTGCAGTAATTGGCGGCCGCCTCCGCCACCGGGAGTATGTCCAGCTGGCAGATGCTGCCCTCGAATGGAACCGCCTTGCGGTTCATCTTCGCCAGGAAGAACACGGCATCCGCCTCGAACTTCTCCGGCTTGCGGAAGATCAGCCTCTTGACGGAGCGCTCTCGCCCGCAGGCTGTGAAGAAGGATATCTCCCTGTCGCCGATGTCCACGGCGAAGTTGTGCCAGCGGCCGTCGTGCACGTCGTACTCGAAGTCCACGGCCTTTTTATTGCCCAAGTAGATGATCACCTTGCCCGGGATGAACTGCAGGCCCAGCTGCAGCTTCTTGCGCCGGCTCTTGACGGCGAAGAGGAAGGCGTTGTTGACGCGGTGCGACCGCACGCTGGCCACCAGCGCCAGGCTGGCCCCGACAGTGCGGGGCAGCACGGAGTCCGCCGGCGCCTCCACGTGGGCGCCGCGAGTGAAGATGAGGCCCGAGCGCGACGGGATGACGCCGCGGGACACGGCCGAAGCCGACAGCTCGGCGTGGTGGGAGCCGGGCGAGGAGCTCCGCGCGTTCGGGAGGCCCAGCCGCTGCAGGACGTCAACATCTGCAATGCAGGGTGACAAGGGGTGGTCTCACATCGACGCTCACCGTCTGGGGTCATATTTTGTTTGAATTGGCAATAGACGAGGGAAAGCGGCAATTAACGGCGCATCGGATTTTTGTGCGCGCGGTTGCGGTGCGGCTGTATTGTTTTTGAACGTGGTACTGTATATGGTGCTGAAATCACTTCCTTACAGAGTAATTATCTCAAATACCCATTTGTTCCACCCGCCCTGACATTGAATGCATGGGAGGCACGGAATAATAACAAACGATGGTGGTGGTGGTGGTGATTATGATGATGACTGGATGTGGGGCACTGTTTAGGGTATTTTCCTCTGTGGTTTGTGCATGTCCAGGGTAGAAGAGGGAGTGCTGTGATTCCAGAATCATGTTTGGCGGGTTACTGATCCACGTTTAAATTCAAATTGCCTTTTCTATTGGTTGCTTTCTTCTTGTCGTGGTCTTTTCATTATTTACATGAAGTTAATTTGAGACATTTTTCTATAAAATGGTAGGAGGAAACTTATTTCAAAGGAGTAGAGAGAACGAACAGGGTTGTAAAGTAAATTCATGTAGTAAAAAAAAGATGTTTTACAATTCTGTACTCCTACTAAGATAGTGATCATTATTTTTTTTTACTACAAACCATGTTATATTACCTGATTTCTAATTTTAATTCTCTCAGAAAAAAACGCTAAACAATTTTTTTTCACATATTTAGGATGCTTGCATATTTAAAAATATTTCATGAAATTCATTTTGCTTATGCCACACATTACGAACGCTACAGCTTTCACCAGTTTCCCTGTGCTAAGGCTCTAACTTAAACAGTAATCGACTGAGGGTCTGTGACAAAGTCACGTTGCTGCTTCAATGCACTCATGTTTGAGATTGATTCTCTAATGGCCCTGAGACCCTATACTTCCTGGTCTTAACTCACCTCGTGGCCCCATAAAAAGGTACGTGTCACAGAGGCCATCTAAGTGATCGGAATCAATTCGTGCGACACAACAGGAATTTCTTCAAAGGGCCCTCTTCAAGGCGCTGGGTGGCAAAAAACGTTCATTGTGCCATGGGTCATCGCGTCAAAGCAAACCGTGCGAAAGGGCAGCGTTGGTCGTACTTTTTGGGGGCGATACTTGTGAATGAAAGTATAACGCACTTTCAAAATGCGTGCCAACTTCTGAGGAGTGTGTAGTTTTGCTTCTGACTGTCAATTTGTTGAGGGTGTCACGGAAAATGCTTCACAACAAAATTAGTGATTCGTGCCAAATACAATAAACTGCATTACTAATAACTATGAACTGCTTGGGGGAAATTCAAATTCAAGTACGTGTGAATGTTTATACTGAGAGCAAGGAAAACATTTTACAAATGCAATACTATACTTTATCCGAAAGACAAATTTATTTCATTGAATATGTATGGTGATGAAAGGGTTCACACATTCAACCCATAAGTAATAAAGTAAAGAAATAAAAGTCAACACTAACAATTTGGCAATCCACTGCAGGATGAAGGCTTGTGAATGCGATGACAGTCATGGGGATTGTTATTGTTTTTTCATACTTCACCACACTGGCCAGTGCTGGTTGGTGGAGCGGGGGGGGGCATCCAAGACCAGTTCACATATCACTCACCACCAATGTTACTCATAACCAGGAATCAAACTCAGGACATCAGGTTCATAACGCAGTGTGTTAACAAATGTGCCAACACTCCACCGACGTTTTAAATTAAACTTCTTTACAAATGTTTAGTAGTCCTCATGTATTTACTCTACATCCATTTTCAGTGACAACAGAACCAGACTGAACCACTAAACTTTAAATAGGTGCTCTGTTAAAGCAGTAGCAATAATAGCAATAATACAAATAAGACATGCGAGAAATGGCAAATTTAATTTGGCGAAGGCTGTGTAAGTTTAATTGTGATTGAATTCTCGCAAGTGCCGTACTCACAAGAGAAATACATTCAGAATAGACTTAGGCAATGTCTCAAAGGACTACTGCACAGCGCCAGTTTATACACATTGCGAATAATTCGCTTTACATTCAACACATTGCAGATGGCATTCATGGCTAAATTAGTTGAATAATTGTAATACTGTACGCCGACACTGCAAGGGAGTGGCCATCGGCAGCATTCCCATCGGCAGCGTGCCATGAACGATTATAAAACGTCACACGGCAGATGCATACAAGATCCTTTTTAAACACCTCCAAATATTTCTCGGGTGCCAACAAAATAAAGGGGACTATATTCTACCACAGAGGCTTGCTAAGTGACATAAGACACCAAAAGATAACCCACTGCAAGAACACAATGATAGTGGCTTGTGATAGCATTGTTAAAGGTTTGACATCTAACTTAATACGCCATTCACATGATTTTACACAGCAATGGCCTTCAGAACAATAGCTCTTTATAGACACATTGAAGGGATCGCTGTATTAAGCCTGTGTAAAGTTATATAAAGTAAAAAGTGGGCATAGCAAAAATATTTCTGAAGCCAGCCTTTTATGACCTGCAGCAAGAAAGTGGGACTGTGTATTGCATTGCATCCAAAATGAATATTTGGATGTTCCTTGGAGCATATTTTAATTAATATGCCACTTCCCACATCCGTATATCTTTACATACACAAAGACCCCCCTTGTTTTACCTTACAGACTGTTGGGGCAAATGCTGTTAGTGAGTATCTAATAATGGCAGCATGGGTGGCATGGCACGTACTACTTTTGGCCACCTTTGTATCCCCAGTTCTGATGTTTACACACTGTAACCAGTACATATCTTTATTTATGGCTGAGTCAACCTAGGAGAGGGCCAAGACAAATTCAAATACCGTTTTGCCACTGATGTTAGCTACGTCCAGGGATATAACTCATGTCACCAGGATCATAGTGTGGTGCACAAACCACCATACGAACACACACAAAGACTAAGATCCCCCGTTATAGCCTTAACAGACTGTCGAGGCAAGTGATACTAGCGAGCACTTACGAAGGCCGGAACGGTACACGAGGGGGGTGGGTGGCCACCACCACGCCCGGCCGCCTTTGTCTCAATAGTGACGATTTTTACACACCGCACCAGGTACTCATTTGAGGCTGAGTCGAACTGGGGAGGGCCGTGACCGATTCAGATAATCATTACTGGTGTTGGCCATGAGCAGGAATTAAACTCAGATCGCCGGGTTCGTAGCACAGCGCATTAACCACTGTACTACCAGTCCCCATAAAACACACACATACACACTCACAAACACAACAGTCTATAGGGTAACCGTCATCAGAAAACCTGGGTTTTTGAAGCCTCATAACTCTTGTGAATGCTAAGCTGAAAAATTGGTCTTGCACTGCAGCATGTACATTTAAATAACTGAAACAATACATTCTAGAATTTAATGACTTGTCAAACACGTTTTAGAACCCGTACATTTTGGAACGCTGCATATACAAAAATTGTGTCCATTCTACAGCAGTGTACCATATGATTCTACTGCAGGCAAATGAACACGTGTAGGAAACGTTCATGAACAAAATAGGGCCGGCTCCAAATATCAACTGATGCTTGTACCTCTGGAGCTGTGAATTCAATCCAAAGTATCAGTCATCCCCTGAGAAAGGCATCTCCACAGAGGGCCTCATTATGGCCGGCATCAGCCACCTGCAGACGTATCATGACCACACTTGTTGTTCTTTACAGCCAGAGCTCCATCCTGAGCGCCACATTGGCAGGAAGGCAATGGGAGTAAACCAAAACAAGAAAATATGAAACCGGCACCACTGCGTGCGAGGACACGGCGTCTCTTTGAGGGTGAACAAGTGCTCGATTATGTGAAAGCGGACCTTGAAATACGGGCGAGGTTCCTAGCGCAATGTCTCCAGGTAAACGTGTCTTGTGCGCGGTTGCCGCCTAGAGCAATTGGAATATTTAACGCTCTGCTGTATCTGGAAAGGGGCATTGAGGACTGTGGCTCTTTATTTTACATGTATCCTATAAACTAAACCCAAATGACTAAACAGAGCCCTTTGATTGGATATTTCTGTAATCTGCGGAGAGGTTTGGAATGTCAAACTGGTTCAATGTTAAAATATTTCATCCAAATTGCAAAATTTGATGTTGTTACTGATGTCTTTCCCCCCCAATTTATCAAATTGTTGCCATGTATCAATCAGGACACCGTGTGCGGTGAACGTTATCGTCTTGGCTAAGTCATTTTATGAACAGAATGATTTAAGACAGCAATTATAAAACTCCAGCACTCAAGCAAAAACCCAGTCCATTTGTCCATGCCATGCTCTCAATTCATATGTAAACATGAATTTTAAAGTGTCTGCTTAGAGATTGACATGAACAGTTGGTGCAGCTTGGGGCACAGAGTATTGGAGTCTTAGTATTTCTGTGAAACAAATCCACACTGTGATTATGGATCCTTGATATAACCTGCTTATTTCATCAGGATATTAGCTGTAGATTACCGCTTATGATTGGCTCGCCTATCACAAAATCACCGAACACTGGTTCTGTAAAATGGTGGAAGCTAAGCAGGGTTGAGCTTTGGTAGTGCTTGGGTGGGTTGTCAAAGCAGCTGCAAGGCTCTGCAACGTGGTGGTCAGCAGAGGGCAGTGCAGAAAATGCCATAGTTGTACTGTGCTTCTATGCTCCAATGCCTATGCTCCCCACCTTCACTAACCCCCACTAACCAGCATGGTGAATGTATGGTCAAATAACTCCAACAACCAGCAGAATGTGGGGAGATCATCGTCCAGCAGTAGACTGACAAAAGAGCTATATGCTAAGCTTAGATGTCCTAAATATTAGAAGGCATTGATGCGTCTATAGTGAAATTGCCATGCCGCAAAACATTACACCTTAACAGGACAAGTGATTCAATATTGGTAGAGCAGTGGAAACCAATATAATATCACGGGCTATGTTCTCTGGAACAAATTAAAGCGGTTTGAGGGAAATGTCATATGTTGTTGAATTCAG